TCTTCATTACATCTATATCGTGTCATCTATAGCTATGTTAATTGTTATTTATTAATGTATTCACCTAACAACTGTTATTAGAGCACTGTCATTTTTGCTACAATCTGCCATGTCTATAAAAAATAAAAGTACCTATAGTTGACACAACATGCTGTTTTCTTTTTTAAATGTAAAACCCACATAGAGGCAACAAGACAAAAGACCAGGCAGAGGACTAAAAAACAATATTAATACATACTATATAAAAATAATAGTAATAATAATAATAATATGAAGATACTAATATACTAATATTAATGAAAATAAATATTGTTGAAAAGGTTATTTTATAACACCATTAAGGTCCTATAGCACTTTCAAAGCATGGTTCTTTATGGAACCTTATGAAAGGGGTTCTACTTAGCACCAAAAAGGGTTCTGCTATTGTTACAAGCCGAAGAACCCTAATTTGGTACTGTTTAGAACCATTTTTCTTAAGAGTGTACAGTGTTAATTTAGTGTTTAATTGCCAGGCCTGGCACATTATCTTGTGTTGTGTTATGCAGTGTTGAGGAAAATTACTTAAATTAAAAGTAGCCTAATGCATTACAATATTGCGTTACTCCCCCAAAAAGGTAAAAAATTGCGTTACTTAGTTACTTTTCATGAAAAGTAATGCGTTACATTTGACTTTTTCACATCAAAAGTGAAATGAATAAGACTCAGGCTCAAGAAAATGCATATTTACGCCTGTACAGTAGAGGGTGCAGCTCAAACAAACCTTTCAGCTGTACTGCCATTATGGATTAAAGGGGTCATGAATTTTTTTATATTGTTGTCTGAGGTCAATTTATGACGTTCGCTTGGTTTTTACATTCAAAAACATCAAAATGAATAAGTAATAGGCTATTTTCTACCCTAGTTTTGAGCCTAGCTCAAAAACGCTCGGTTTTTATGGGCGTCTTGCATTGAAGACTTGGAAGTAAACGCCCACTGCTGTGAGTGGATAACAGTTTTGCATATTATAATGAGTTTCGTGTAATGCGCGAATCGGTGGGCGGGGCTAAACCGGCCGTGTTGAAGTAGGCGTTGATCTTCTTCTGCGGGGGTGGTGTTTTATCCTCTTTGTCGTCATAGTTCCCCACTTTGAAAAACGAGTCGTTTGCTGAGCCTGGTGTCAATAAAAGCTTTTATTGGACTAACAAGGACGTTTTCAGTTCTGAAACTTACAGGATATTCTTATAACATGATGACCTCTTAGATGTCAAAAGCTCAAGGAAATTTTGATTTCTCAGTTCATCACCCCTTTAAAGAACAATAGCATACAGGAGAAGGAAGTTCAACACTCTTATTTCTAAAGTAATTTTTGCTTATTAGTATGATTGAATTAGATCATTAAAGGTCAGCAGCAAAGACATTGGTTAATAAAGTGAGATTAAATACATAAAGTATATTTGTGTAATTTAATGTAGTAAATGATAAAAGTTTAGCATAACATTTTGAAATTGCATTTTAGAGTTTTATTCATTTTGAGGAATACTGCATGTTTTCGTGCAAGTAAGATGAGTAAATGCATGTTCACATTTAGTCTAGAACTAAAATAACCATCATGTTTACACAGAGCACACAACACCTCCTCACTTTATTTCTCTCTACATGGGGACAGGAGAGCTGTCTATCAATAAATGTGAAAAAGTAACTAGCGTTACTTATTTAAAAAAGTAACTTAAACATTTTGTTGTAAATTGAAAAAGTTATGAGTTAATTTACTAGTTACTTGAAAAAGTAATCTGATTACGTAACTCAAGTTACTTGTAATGAGTTACCCCCCCCCAACACTGGTGTTATGAGTGTAGAGAATAAAATAAGATCAGAATATATGGTCGATATATGGTTTAATGTTCTTGGAGATGATGAAAGATAATGTGCATGCATAATATCTATGATTTTATTCATGATATATCATCATGATATCTATAATCAGTTGATATTGGATGTATCAGTTTATATTGCATATTTGATTGTGCACGGTCACCTATTTCCTATATTTTTACATTAAGATTACCTTAGCCACACTCATTTAATGTTAATCTTTAAAAATGAAAATCCATTTTTCACACTGTAAATTGTAATGTTGTGATGCCTAAATTTAGTTTTAAAATGATCAACATTTAAAATGATATTTTTTCTTTTTGTGTAAATCTCTATTGTTTAATCTTTTTAAAATATGTTTAGAAAAAATGGTATAGATTTTGAATATGAAATTATTTCATAATATAAAATTAATTATCGTATGGTCCACGATTTTAATAGACATCCCTTGTTTTGATACCTTTAACAACTTTTAACACTACCGTTCAAAATTTTGGGGTTGGTAATAATGCACCAATTAAGGCTGCATTTATTTGATCGAAGAGACAGTAAAAAGAGTAATAGTGTGAAAAATGATTATAATTTGAATTTTTTTTTTGATTTCCATTACACGAGAGTAGATGTTAAAACTTCATGCTGATTTGTACTCTGCTTTCGCCAAGATAAGCAAAACTAAGACGTAGCTTTACAGTAAACTATGCTTCTCCATCCATTTATGCTTCTTTCCATATGGTGGTGTGACTCCCCTTCTGTCCGGCGTTAATGGCTGCAGTGTACTTGGCGCGTCAGCACACGCGACGGCTGCAACTACAGGACCAGCACGACAACCGTCTGGATTGAGCCGAGTAGGGGACATCTCTAGGGTCTTCAAGTGGGCACCTTCCGTCCTCAGTGTTTCGTCGACTAGCTCACGACACCTCAAGAGGGCTCGACAGTGACTCTGGCGTCCCAGAGTCACCCCCCTCCGTCCCCCACTCAACTCAGCCCAGCTTACTGACCTCTACATCCCTCCTGCTGCTGAGACCTAACCACAATCTCACAATCTCTCCGCAACCCGACCATACGCGCCAACCCGTTTGACTAAGGCTGTCGAGCCCCACTGGTGCGTTAATATGCAGTTTCAGTGGACAACGGTTCCGTATGGCATACCACCTACCGCAAAACACAATATCTGCCCAACCACCCGTCATTCACGCAACATCCACAGGAACGTATACAAATAAACCAACAGACTCTTCAAGTTTTCAAGAATTCTACGAAACCGTAGCGTGGCGGCCTGCACACAGCCAGCAGCAGACAAAGAATAATATTTTTTAATTTTAGTATATTATAAAATGATGGCAAAGCTGAATTTCATCATCATTACTCCATTCTTCATGTGATTCTTCAGAACTCATTCTAATATGCTGGTTTGGTGCTCGAAGACACATTTCTTATTACAATCAGTGTTGCAAACTGTTGTGCTGCTTAATATTTTTGTGGAAACCATGATTAAAAAAATCAGAATTTATTAGATTTGATTAATAGAAATTTTAGAAGAACAGAATTGATTTGAAATAGAACATTATGTAACATTATGTCCTTACTGTCACTTTAGATACATTTTAATGCAGCCTTGCGGAATAAAAGTATTAATATAAAAAATATAAAAAATCGTACTGACCCATAACTGGCCCTACTCATCCATTCTTTGACTAATAAAAATTACATAAGTGCTTTAAAATTGTTTGGCATTGGAACCAGTCATTACGTTCCCTTCCTGAGGTTTGGTTTTTCATAATGTTAAGAAATCCTAAACCACAACATATCTGAGTTAATTCTGATGGATGATTGGTGAATATTGATCCTTAATAAACACCACTCCCTTCGTGGACTTTTTTTTCCTCTGAGGAATGTCTTGTGGTCTGTGAAGAGACTTACAGTGCTACCGTCTCATTTCTGAATGACTCATGCCTAAGACATTCCAAACTTCACCATGTCTCCACCCCACAAGTGGGCGGTAAGCTCAGCTGACACGGTCACCATCTCAGAGTCTCTCGCCACATTAAGAGCTGGTGAGTGACTCTAAGTGAGGGCTGGTGGTATGAATGATCTGGCCAGGCTGTGTCCACGGTTGGCATTGTCACTCCAACAGCATGACTCACAACGTTTCCTTTTTCCTGCATCCAACCCAATTGTCTATCACCACAGAAGGAAACTCCCAGCCAGTTTATAGTTCAGAGTTTATTTTGCAGTTTGTCTACAATGATACAGTAACATAGTCCAATGGAGGCGAGCTTACTGAACCCAAGTGCAGTTTTATTTAATCCAAAACATGAGTAGATACACAAAAACAAAGGCTTGGCTTAAAACTTAAGCATGAACAAACTCACCAACAGCAGGTTACACATAACAAAGTTAGTCCAGGACAAAGAAAACACGAGGAATATAAACTAACAGACTAATGAGCTAACAAGACACACCTGAGAGCAATGAGACAGAACTGAGAAACCACATGACTAAATCAACCAATGATAACATACATGACACATGTACAAGGGGAGCACATGGCAAGAACACATGAGGGAAAGGGAATCACATGACAGGATCCATGACTCCAAAGGCAAATCACAAAATAAAAAACATGAAATACCAGTAAACTCTGTGATGTCAGTCATCGGAAATCAAAACATGAGACGCATAATAGTTACTATACAGTAGTACTGGAGTTACTATAGTACAAAAAAATAGCAACAGAGCCAAAGCGCTGATGAGCGGAAAAGAAAGCAGGGTCTCAAGCGGCAGACGTGCCGCAGCGGTCTGTTATCCGTCTAGCGCATGTCTACATAGAAAAACAATTAAAAGCAGTGGAGCGTACTATAAACCGCTCCAACAGAGCTTAATGATTGGTCCAAAAGAAGCTTCCTACATCAGCACATTCTGACCTTGCACATGCTCATACCAGCTCATAACCTATCATTTGTTCACATATTGGATCATACCGGTAATTTACTGGTATTGTTGCAACTTCTCATGCCGGAAAATTGCTAGAACTGATTTACCAGTATTTTTGAAAAGGTTGGAGATCACACATGATCTCTAAATGGTTATTTAAAGACTGAAAATGTGAACGGGGCTAATGTCTGTGTGTGTGTGTTTTTTCTCTCTAGACAGCATGGTGTACCACCCTGAGTTTGAGCGAGCAGGCAAGGAGCCTGGCCTCCAGGTGTGGAGAATTGAGAAGTTTGATTTGGTGGCAGTTCCTGAGAACCTCTATGGAGGGTTCTACACCGGTGACGCTTATGTGGTCCTCAATACCATCAAACAGCGTTCGGGCAACCTACAGTACGACCTCCACTTCTGGCTAGGTAAGAGGACAATGCTTTGCTGAAGAGATTCTGAATTTCTGACTTTTATTTTAGTAAAGTACAGTCTAAAAAATGCTGGGTTGTTTCAAACCATGTTTGGGTCAATATGGACAAACCCAACCGTTGGGTTTAAAAATGTAATTTAAAAATGTAAACCAACGGTGACCCCAAACATGGGTTGCTACAACCCAGCATTTTTTAGAGTGCAAATATTCTGCCTAATTTAATTAGCAAGTCAAGCTAGATGGTTTAAATGTCAAATGCATCAGCTACATTTCTCATAGATGCTCTTCCCTCAACTGGCAGGTGACTTCTGCACGCAGGATGAGAGCGGGTCGGCTGCCATTTTCACAGTGCAGATGGATGACTATTTGGGTGGAAAGCCCATCCAGTACCGTGAAGTTCAGGGCTATGAGTCCAAAGCTTTCCTGGGATATTTTAAAAAAGGGCTGCAGTACATGGTGAGTGGTCCAATCGATGACAGGACAAATGGAAAAAGACAAATAATTACAAATAAGGATGTTAAAATATAATCATGTCTTCAAACACATTTAAAAGTAAAAACACACAAGTAACATTTCTACAAATATGAATTTTTGAAAGTTTTGATAGTTGAGGTTAGTTGATATTAGTCCTTAATTCAAAGTCATGTGGTTTCAACACTGACTTCCATTTGAATATAACTTTTTTAAACAATACTGCTTCACTACTTAATTTTTTAAGAAATAATATTTAAAGTTTTGATATTTAATTATATACTATATATATATATACACACATATATTCAGGTCATTGACTGTTGGAATTACATTTAATTATAATTTTTATTAAAAATACTGACAAATGTCATGTCACCATTCATTTCTTTGCTACAAAATATTAATGTTAAAATATTAGGGAATAATATTATCACCATACATGAAATTTTAATGACATCTGTTTTTTCCAGAAAGGTGGAGTTGCGTCTGGATTCAAGCATGTTGTCACCAATGAAGTGACAGTACAGCGGGTGCTACAGGTCAAAGGTCGGCGTGTTGTCAGAGCAACAGAAGTGCCAGTCAGCTGGGACAGCTTTAACCAGGGAGACTGCTTCATCCTGGACTTGGGTAATGTGAGTATCATATGAAGAGAGTGAGGGAGATTTGATATCATCAAAATCTCAAAAATAACCCTGTTTTCTCTGTGTGGTTTTACAGGAGATCTACCAGTGGTGTGGTTCAAAGAGTAACCGTTTTGAGAAGTTGAAAGCTACGCAGCTTGCAAAGGGCATTCGTGACAACGAACGCAGTGGACGCGCTCGCGTGTATGTTTGTGATGAAGGGATTGAACGAGAAAAGATTTTGGAGGTAAGAAAGACAACAAAAAAAATCAACTTCGAAATCAACTAAGAAACACGCTAAAAATACGATCCATCTATCTGATGGCAGGTTCTTGGAGAAAAGCCAGACCTGCCTGAAGGAGTGTCTGATGATATCAAGGCTGATGCCTCCAATAGGAAGATGGCCAAACTCTACAAGGTAGCCATTGGAACTAAACCATGCCAATATGATAAATAGCCCTTGTAGATCATAAATGCATTTATTGGTGTTTTCTTGTACTTCAGGTGTCTGATGCCAGCGGAGACATGGCCATTGCCCTGGTGGCCGCTGAGAACCCCTTCTCCCAGAGTGCACTGGAATCAAGCGACTGTTTCATCCTGGATCACGGCTCAGATGGCAAGATCTTTGTTTGGAAAGGTAAATGGCATTGACTGACAAAACAAAAAAGGGGACTTTTTTTCCTTTTTAGACTTCTTTGTTGACACACTTATGTTCATTTTATAGGCAAAGATGCCAATGTGGAAGAGAGAAAAGCTGCCATGAAGGCAGCAGATGAGTTCATTAAGAAAATGGGTTACCCAAAGCAAACACAGGTTCAGATTCTCCCAGAGATGGGCGAGACGCCTCTATTCAAACAATTCTTCAAAAATTGGCGTGATGTGGACCAGACAGACGGCCTGGGCATTGCTTACGTCTCAAACAGCATCGCTAAGATCGAAAAGGTGCCGTTTGATGCTTCTACACTGCATGATTCACCAGCCATGGCCGCCCAACATGGAATGATCGATGATGGCAATGGAGAGAAACAGGTCAGCGTGTGAGCACACACTGCGTTTAATGTAACCTGAAGTTACACAACATGCTGTGTATACAAATACAGTGAGGGTACAGAAATAATATTTTTATTTTTGTGTCACTCTAGATCTGGCGTATTGAAGGTTCAGACAAAGTTGCAGTTGACCCCTCTACTTATGGCCAGTTCTATGGCGGAGACAGTTACATTATCCTGTACAATTACCGGCATGGAGGCAGACAGGGTCACATCATCTACATCTGGTATGACTTGATCTCACACAGTCAATGTAAAGCTTTGTCATGTCATATAGCTGGAGCACATGCAACGTGTTTTCATGTAACAATTCAGGTGTGTTGTCCTGACTATTGATGTGTGGTGTCTCTCACAGGCAGGGTAAGGACTCCTCACAAGATGAGATTGGGGCATCTGCTATCTTGGGCGCCCAACTGGATGATGAGCTTGGAGGTGGACCTGTGCAGGTAATGCTAACGAATAAACCTTGTTGGATCACTTGATTACAATCATATCCATATTTTGGTACTTCATGGTAAAATTGTCATTTGGGGCTCTTCCATTTCAAGTGCAACAGTGATTCTCTTTTTTTAATTAGTTAACATGAAAAAGCATTCACAAACCATTTTACAATTGTGATGTGGCGCATTTCTGAGTGAAACTGTATTCTCAGTAATTCAACAGTATTCAGAAAAAATTACTTTGCCATCACCTAATACTCACTTAAAGTCAATTTTTAAAAAACACTAATCATTTAATAACACTGTTATATGTTTTGTTTAGCAAATCTATTAAACTTAATTTGTAGTATTTAAAATTATTTATTTTATTTTATTATGTTTGTTTTTTAGTGTTTTATTTTGAATTAATTTTGACAAAATGTTATAGAATTTTAGTATTGTCCAATTATCAGATATCAGCCACAACATGAAAATAATTATTGGCTTATAGGCATCGGTCAGAATTTGAAAGTCACCATGAAATCAAAATTTGCAACTCTTATTTTTTATGGAATAGGTTATTATACATAATTTATCAGTGCACATCATCTACACTCACCTAAAGGATTATTAGGAACACCATTTCTCATTAATGCAATTATCTAATCAACCAATCACATGGCAGTTGCTTCAATGCATTTAGGGGTATGGTCCTGGTCAAGACAATCTCCTGAACTCCAAACTGAATGTCAGAATGGGAAAGAAAGGTGATTTAAGCAATTTTGAGCGTGGCATGGTTGTTGGTGCCAGACGGGCCGGTCTGAGTATTTCACAATCTGCTCAGTTACTGGGATTTTCACGCACAACCATTTCTAGGGTTTACAAAGAATGGTGTGAAAGGGAAAAACATCCAGTATGCGTCAGTCCTGTGGGCGAAAATGCCTTGTTGATGCTAGAGGTCAGAGGAGAATGGGCCGACTGATTCAAGCTGATAGAAGAGCAACTTTGACTGAAATAACCACTCGTTACAACCGAGGTATGCAGCAAAGCATTTGTTAAGCCACAACAGGCACAACCTTGAGGCGGATGGGCTACAACAGCAGATGACCCCACCGGGTACCACTCATCTCCACTACAAATAGGAAAAAGAGGCTACAATTTGCAAGAGCTCACCAAAATTGGACAGTTGAAGACTGGAAAAATGTTGCCTGGTCTGATGAGTCTCGATTTCTGTGGAGACATTCAGAGACATTGATGGAGTCAGAATTTGGCGTAAACAGAATGAGAACATGGATCCATCATGCCTTGTTAACACTGTGCAGGCTTGTGGTGGTGGTGTAATGGTGTGGGGGATGTTTTCTTGGCACACTTTAGGCCCCTTAGTGCCAATTGGGCATCGTTTAAATGCCACGGCCTACCTGAGCATTGTTTCTGACCATGTCCATCCCTTTATGGCCACCATGTACCCATCCTCTGATGGCTACTTCCAGCAGGATAATGCACCATGTCACAAAGCTCGAATCATTTCAAATTGGTTTCTTGAACATGACGATGAGTTCACTGTACTAAAATGGCCCCCACAGTCACCAGATCTCAACCCAATAGAGCATCTTTGGGATGTGGTGAAACGGGAGCTTCGTGCCCTGGATGTGCATCCCACAAATCTCCATCAACTGCAAGATGCTATCCTATCAATATGGGCCAACATTTCTAAAGAATGCTTTCAGCACCTTGTTGAATCAATGCCACGTAGAATTAAGGCAGTTCTGAAGGCGAAAGGGGGTCAAACACAGTGGTGGTCAAACACACACAATAATAACAAATTATGGTGTTCCTAATAATCCTTTAGGTGAGTGTATATATATATATATTACGGAAGCGTATTGCATTCACTTGAAGAAGAAAAAAATCTACTCTGTTTTTCTGAATTAACGAGTTAATTATCTCAGAATTACGAGATATATTTTTTCATGAAAAAAAGTTTTCGCTCTTTTTCTGAATTAAGGAGTTAATATCTCAGAATTATGAGAGAATTTTTTCTTGAAAAAAATTTTTTCACTCTGTTTTTATGAATTAATGAGTTACTCAGAAAAACAGAGCAAAAACATTTTTCCATGAAAAATGATCTCGTAATTCTGAGATAATTAACTCGTTAATTCGGAAAAACAGAGCAAAAAAATTTTTTCCATGAAAAATTATCTCGTAATTCTGAGATAATTAACTCGTTAATTCAGAAAAACAGAGTAGATTTTTTTCCTCAAGTGAATGCAATACGCTTCCGTAATATATATATATATATTCTTTTTTTTTTTAAATGAATGTGCCCTCGTAATCTTTATTTAAAAACACTAACTTCCTCTCCTCACAACAACGTCTCTGATGATGTGTGCACTGGTGAGAGGGTGGGAAAATAATCCATCCTCTCCAAAAATTTGTAACTCACATGAGATCACAGAACTTAGCAAATGTCAATGATCCAATCAATTCTTGATGGACAAAATCAAGGGTTTTTTTCTTGTTCAAGAAGCAGTTTCACTCGGATATACATCATAGTATGGAAGAAAAGACTAATGCAATTTTAGTTTCTTGCCAACTTTAATATCCGTGCATCCCTAATTTTGACGAAAGAGTATACTTTTTTTTTTTTAATCACTGCTGTTGAATTACATGCACTGATAAATAATGGTAAATAAAGTAAATATGGCTCATTTTGATTCCATGTTGACTTAGTTCAAGCATCCTGGTGCTCCTGGTTCCTACTGTAGCCTTTGAAAGCTTAGCTACATTCTGCAGTTATTGCCGGTTGCATCAGCCTTCCTTGATTTTTCCATCTGTTAAACCAACTTCCACCTCTATGTCTTTCCTTCCTGTCCGTTATTCATATCCGTCATCCTGCTGTAGATGGCTGGTGCTCCCCTGACCACTCAGGTATCCATATCTCAGGATAGCATGTCCCTGTCCAGAGCCTTCTTCTCTGCCACTTTTACAAGCAAACAGCATTGTTTTTACTCAGTCTTTGAGTCACATTGATAAAGCGAAAATTATCTTACACAGCATTACACAAACAACAGTTACAAAGTCATGTTCCTCTAATGCCTGTTCTGTTTCCACAGTGTAGCAGCAACGCCCGTTTCACACATACTCCGTGTGCAGTGCGTATGCGGTGCGTGTTGCGGTGCGTATGCGGTACAGGAGCAGCACGCGCTATAGTGCTTTCACATATGCTGCGTGCGTTTGCAGTGCGCAACTGATCCGCGGCTGTACCACAAACACATTTACTCACTATTTGTATTTCAAAAAATCATCAATCAAATCAAGTTATCAGCAGCAAAAGTTTTTGCCTCCAGTGCAATTCTCTTTGTAGGCCTATTCACGTTTAAAACACAATTTAAACAACGTATTATTCAATGCATTACTTTTATATAGGCCTAGATTATATATTAAGTTGCTCAAGCAAGTGGTAACATATTTAACCATGTACTTATATTAAAATCGCAAACATTTTAAATTAAAACTTAAAATTGACAAAAACAGCAGACTCATACCTTTTCTTTTGCATAATTCAAATCTGTATACAATAAATCTTGCATGTCACAAATAACTTGTTTTTCCACCTCAACGAATGAGACGAGTGTCGTTCATTATGTGGCCTTGTTGAAGTAAATTGTAGCTTTCTTTGCTTTACCCCGGTCTTAAAGTAAAAAGATGACTGTGAAAAAGGTAGTATTTAATTAAATGCATTTATGGTTACATTTTATTTAATTAAATACATTTATGGTGAGATTACTACATTTTATTGAATTAAATGCATTTATGGTGAAATTACTACATATTCAGGTCAGTCTGTGTTCATTTTGACCACGAACCGTGCGCTGTCACTTTAATTCAGCGTTTGCAGCACACAGCAGAAATAGACTCGGTGCGGAAACGATCTCTGCACTGCTGTATACGCACCGCAACTGGAACGGATCGACGGACCGCATCCGCGTGCAGTGTGAAAGCTCTAACCTGTTAACATGGGTACGGAAAAAAATACGCACCGCATACGCACTGCAAACGGAGTATGTGTGAAACGGGCGTAAAGTCTATTATATGAATTTATACAGCTAAAGGGTTTTTAAACTCGTGATTTCATTGGTGTCTGCATAATCAGTGTGGATGATCAATATGTACAAATATTATCACGCTTTTTTTTGTAAGGCTCTGTACACTGACATACTATCCCTATACACTCGTGTCTTTGTCTCTCTATGTTGTTATTTCGTCATTTTTGCACAAGTAACTAACTGTCTTCCACATTTACAGATTACTTTGGGACTGAGCATGTGAACATTAACAGAAATGCTCCATTATACATTCACATTTATTTTTTAATTGATTCAAAGTGTGACTATGATTTATATGTTTATCTGGATTTATGCATGCTGTCATGCACAGTTAACTAGACCTAACTAGCACATTTAGCATGCTAATGTAGTTTATGTGTAAAACGCAGTAGACAACAGAGAATGTCCATCATCTTCTGTATTGGTCTAGTGTACACTACCAGTGTGTACTAAGTGTGTGTGGGTTGCATTAAATTGATCAAAAATGACAAAAAAAATACATTTATAATGTTATAAAATAATGCTATTTAAAACAAATGCTTTTCCTTTTAACTAAGATTTCATAGAAACATGAACAAATATTACATTATATTGCAATAAATACAACCGTATGATTCAGCAGAGATTATCATGGGAACTCTAAATGTAATGTAAAACTTAGGGGCAGAAGGAGAAAATAACCCCTTTAGTTCGACCATTAATTAAGCTCCGCTTTCTCCTAAAGTTGAACAGCCCTCTGCACAGTCATCATGCTGACCACAAAGGATGCTGGGAAATTTTGGCATTAGCTCTACATTCCACAAAGTGAGCTCAACAGTGCCACCCTGTGGAATTAAATGCAATTCTCAACCAAACCCTCTTGAAAAACCAATAGGGCAAATATGACAGTGTTATCAGAATATCTTTTTTTCCCCCTTTTCATTTAGCAGAAGAATGACTGCATGTTATCTCTGTTTAATGTCTACTCACTGTGTATTTTTTCAGGTGCGGGCGGTCCAGGGTAAGGAACCTGCTCACCTGATCAGTCTGTTCGGAGGGCAGCCCATGGTGGTGCACAAGGGCGGCACCTCCAGGGAAAGTGGTCAGACGGCGCCAGCTGAAACTCGGCTGTTCCAAGTGCGCTCAAACTCCGCAGGGTGCACACGAGCGGTGGAGGTCAGCATCTGAAGTTTACAATTGGTGGGAAGTTTTAAATATCCTCCTCTGATATTTGCTGTCTCCTCCAGATTGACGCAGTGTCCTCCAATCTGAACTCCAATGATGCCTTCGTCCTGGTGACCCCAGCTGCGTCTTTCATATGGGTGGGACGAGGAGCCAGTGATACAGAGAAACGTGGGGCGCAGCAGCTGTGTGACATCCTTGGAGTGTCGCCCTCTGAGCTGGGTGAAGGAGGAGAGGACGGTGAGCACTCGTTTGAAATCTTTAACGTAAAAGTTCAGCCATAAATGACAACTGTGTCATCATTTACTCATCCTCATTTTGTGGCAGAACTGTATGACTTTCATTCTTTCATGGACACAAAAGGAGAAATTACAAAGATGGTCACTCTTTTTCATACAGTTACAATAAATTGGGACTGAAGCTTCTTTCAAGGTTTAAAGTCACCATGAAATCAAAAGTGATATTGCAGTGTTTATTATTTATCATTATCATTATTATTATTTATTTTTTTAATTAATGTGCCCTCATAATCTTTAATCAAAATAAACACTTGCGGTGACATCTCTTCTCTTTTCTCTTTTCTCTTTTAATGTGTTTACTGGCATGAGAGCGGGACAACCTGTCACTCACATGACATCACAGCAATAGCAAACCACAACCATCCAATCAATTCCTGATTGACAAAATCAAGTCCCGCCCTACATTTTTTCTTGTTCTTGAAGTCGTTTCACTCGACTGTACGTCACAACTGGGAAGAAAAGACTATTGCAACTTCCGTTTCATGTAAAAAGAAAAAAGGGCAAAAAACAAACAAACACACAGAAGCAACATAATAGTGGTCCATATGACTTATGTGACAGAATTTCCATTTTTGGGTGAAAAATAAAAATAATTAATTTAAATTAATATTTAATTCCCAGTTCATTCTCTTATGTAAACCATCAGTGACCATTTTTTATTAACTATTTATTTATTTATTATATCCAATTTTATTATTTTGATATTTATATTATTTGTTCTATTTTCTTCTTTAAAAATGTGATCCTCATAATTAAGCTCATTATACTTGCAGGCAGCTTCTGGGACTCTCTGGGAGGAAAGGTCGATTACCGCACATCCGCCAGGCTAAAGGACAAGATGAATGCCCACCCGCCACGACTGTTCGCCTGCTCAAACAAAACTGGCCGTTTCATCGTGAGTAACGCACCCAGATTTTTTTGTCTGCCCTGATTTGAATGAGAATATTGTCAGTCTAGTATGATGAAGAGTCACTCATTATGGATGCGCTGATATCCATGCAGATTGAAGAAGTACCTGGAGAAATGACCCAAGAAGACCTGGCTACAGATGATGTCATGATCCTTGACACCTGGGATCAGGTAAACTGACTACATTAACAGGATTGTTCTACATTACAAGGAGTTCTCATATATCTGTTTATAATGTTGCTTGCAAAAAACTTCACTGCTATTTTATTAATGTAATGACATGCAACTGACATTCAGGGAATAATGAGACATCACAGAAGTTTAATGAATCTTAATGTGTTTTACAGGTGTTTGTTTGGATCGGTAATGAAGCTCATGATGAGGAGAAAACTGAGGCGCTGTCTTCAGGTGAGACTCATTATAACACTTTAGACTTACCATGATTATAATTCACTGCATAAAGTATTAAGAGTAAGTAGAATATTGCCATACTACTTACTAGTATGCATAGTGTGCCAAGTATGTCAATTTTTTCGATGTGTAGAATATTCAAATGACCTAGACTAGAGCACTTAACAGAATACTGTATCTCTATCCACTGTATCTATTTATTTTTTGATAAAACTGCCAAAAGTTAATGCAAAAATGTAGTACTGTACTGTTCAATGTCTTTGGAATCACACCTATTGTTTCACATGCCATTGTTAATCAACAGTAAGCAATACACAGAATTTACCTAGTATACACTAAAGTCAGTATTTTTTTATACAAAACATAATGGTGGTGTAAGTCCGTCTAATTCGATCCAATGGCGGTACTCGATTAGCGGTGAAGGTCTAACAATTTATTATGTCAGGTAAATGTATTATTACAATTCCATAATCAATTGAAAGATAATCAATGCAAACCATCAAATGTTCTAGAACAAAGAGGAAAATCCTTTACCCGACATTATGAGACATGAATGCTGAGTCTCAACGACACAGCATTCACGAGCTGATCTGATACAGAAAAAGCAGCCCTGAGCTCTCGTTGCATTTTCCTTATATAGCCAGACCTTATTTGATATGTAAAACATGAGTTTAGTGGAAATGTACTGTGTTCCCCCTCCATACTTACTGGGGGCAGAAGTTTGACCATCTGCTAAGAAGTGGAAATTAGCATTCATGAATTTACACCTTTGGGATGAGTGCCTAGAGACCACATTCCTTTGTGTGCCAGTTATTCCTAAACTCTTAAAAACCTTATTACCTTTTTGTTTTACTTATTTGGAAATAGAACACTGGTACCATTCGCACTGAGACATTTCAAATAATACTAAACACATATATAAAACTCTATGATAGTTGTTCAAATTAAAACCATATAAATTCTTGTGTGAGTGTGGGTGATCTCTGCAAGAGTGGGGGATGCGGGTGGGTGTGTGTGTGTGAGAGGTGTTCAGATGTTAATTTGCAAGCAAGGTCCTTTGTCTTATAGATCTGTGGTGAGGTTGATTCCTTCAACCAGTTCTTCCAGTCTTACAGTGGTTTCTTTTGGTTATTTGGTTGAAATGTATAAGGTTAATTGCTTGGATGAAAATATATAAAAATATATAACGTATATGGAGAAGAATGCACTTCCATTCAAAAATATGCTCTTATGCTCACCAAGGCTGCATTTATTTGATTAAAAATACAGTAAAAACATCAGTATTGTGAAATATTATTACTGTTTAAATTAACTGTTTTCTTTTTTAATATATTTTAAAATGTCATTTATTCCTGTGATGGTAAAGCTGAATTTTCAGCATCATTAGTCTTCAGTGTCACATGATCATTCAGAAATCTTTGGCGCTCAAGAATCATTTCTTATAATTATCAATGATGCAAACAGTTGTGCTGCTTAATATTTTTGTGGAAACCATGATAAATGTTTTTTCTGGATTTTTTGGTGAATAGAAAGAACAGCATTTACTTGAAATGGAAATCTTGGTCACACTTTAGATTATGGTCCATTTTCACTATTAACTAACTATTAACAACTATGACTTTTGCCTCAAACTCTATTGCTACTTATTCATAGTTAGTTAATAGTATTAAGATAGTTGTTAGGTTTAGGTATTGAGAAATTAGGTAGAATTAAGTGATGTAGAATATGGTCATCCAGAATACAGCATTATTATGTGCTTTATAAGTACTAATAAACAGCCAATATCCTAGTAATATGCATGCTAATAAGAAACTAGTTAATAGTGAGGATTAGACCCTAATCTTTTGTAACATTGTAAATAGCTTAACTGTCACTTTTACTCAGAAAGGATGCATGAAGTTGATCAAAATTATTCATTTATTTTTCCAAAAACCACAGACTTTTGAATGGTAGTGTGTCATGAGGCATTTTTTCCAATTAATAGTATCTATGTCCATCCTAGAGTCCAGTAGGTGGCAGTAATGTAAGAAAGAAAGAAAGAAAGAAACATGAGCTTGTTTTGAAACAGCAAAAGCAGACTGTGTCCTTTATTAAACTTTTCTTTTTCTCTCTCTAGCGGCACAATACATCAAGACGGACCCAGCCAACCGTGACTCACGCACACCTATTGTGAAGATTAAACAGGGCTTTGAGCCGCCCACTTTCACAGGCTGGTTCCTGGGCTGGGACAATGACTACTGGAGCACTGACCCCCTGGAGCGGGCCATGGCTGAGCTGGAGATCTGAACTTGAGCTGTCACCCCTGACCTTTAGACCCCACTGCCTTACTGATCAAAGTTGCTCTTAGGCTACGTTCACACTGCAAGCCTTAATGCTTAATTCCCATTTATTGCTCAGATCTGATTTTTTTTCTATCGCTGTTCACATTGTTGTTTTAAATGTGGCCAATATCAGATTCCACTGGGACCAGATCATGGTCCCGAACTGACCCGCATGCGCAAACGAACAATAAAAAGACGCCACACTGTCATATGGAAGTGTAAACGAAGGACATTAGAGTAAGAGATCACGCCTTTATTTATTCTTTTATCTGCCGCGGAACCCAGCGAATTTATGCACTCGCAATATTAAAAACAAAGGCGAGGATGCAAAAAAAGAGAGCAGAGTTTTTAAACATTGATGATGTTTTGCTTGTATATAGAGCTGTCACTGTAATACTTATGAGCTCTGACACATCACTGTCCTTCACTTAATATCTTTCGCAACTGTCTTTATAACTTTGGGTATGTAAAATCTTTGAAGTGACCCCCATGAGCGCAGAATTGTGACGAATGTCAATCTAGAGTGGCGTAAAAGTCGCATGATTCTGATATGACTGTTCAGACTGAGGTCACATTGCAAAACATCAGACCTGTATTGGATTTGGTACCACATATAGAAGTGACCCAATCAGAATCGAAAAGATCAGATTCCATGTGGTTTGTGCTGTTTACACCGTCATGACAAAAACAGATTGGAGTCACGGATTTGGGCCACATTTTCCTGCAGTCTGAGCGTAGCCTTAGATACACCAATTTGATGCTTATGAGGATTTAATCATGGATTCAAAAACCAAAGCTGGTCCTTGGTCAGTAAAAAAGGGCTACCTTTCAATCAAGTACCTTACTGGCCTGGGCTTCAGTCACCAAACTTAAGGCAACTTCATAAATTCTATTAGGTTCCATTTGTGCGACTGCTTTGGGCTTTGCATTTCTTCTTGTCTACTTGTTCAGATAAATTAGTGTATGTTGATGTGTATGCTCTCTGTTTATGTCGTATTGTTCTGTCATCTGACGTCTTTGCTGTCATCTTTTTCTGTCATCTTTACCATCATCCATCTCTGTCGTCTTTACTGTTGTCTCCTTTTTCTCATATGAAGAGAACAGTGAAAGACCCCATGTATCTCTGAAGAGGACTGTCTTCAGAAAGGTTTCGATGGCATAATACCTCAGTATAATGCCTACAAAGTAGTGTTTTTAAGCACAAGGTTGCTTTGTTTAGAGTGGTAACATGGGAAACTGTTCCATAAGCGTGTCAGGGAGTGAATTTTCATTTTTACCATGTATAATTTTTGTTCAGACAAATGCGAAAATCGGATTAAAGGGTTTTTAATGTGCGTTTTAAAGATCTACACAATTTGGATAATGAGGTCACACACACGCACACACATGAATGAATGGAATTATTTTACTTTATTTATACTTTATTTTGCTGGCTGATGAGACTTTTATTTTGTTTTCTGTTTTTATATCTGTACACATTGTGCCAAGAAGAGGACAGAACAAGAATTTATCTGAACAAATAGGCAATGACTGTAGACAAGGACAAATGTATAGTACAATGCACAAAGCTGTCGACTCATTTTTGGCACAAATGGAACCTCATAAAAATCTTCACCTTGTTGCTTATGTATTTAAGTGTTTTTTTCTTCATGTGTTTAACAATGCATTGAAGCTTTTAAAGATTTTAGGTTGTTGTCTTCGTTCTGTACACCTTATGTTGCTGAAGTGCTTGAGCCTGTATCAGAAAATATACAAGGATATTTTTATCAAAATCTGTCAGAAACCTTTTTTTATGTGACAAGTTGTTGGATTAGTTTTGTTTTAAAACTAAAACGGAAGTAAAATAAATTCATTTAAAATGGAACAAAAACTTATGAAAATGACAAAAGCATATAACAAAAACAACTAAAAATGTAACTAAAACGATCACTGAAAATATAAATGCTAATTCAAAATATTAATAAAATGGTATATTAAAAAATACTATCATAACATTGATTGCACTCTTGAACGTTCCAGAGCTTAATATCAGTATTAACAACCACATTTTTTAAATTATTTAATCAGACTGCCCAAAACCTAAGATATGATTTTAAACTAAAATCGGCTCAAAAATGGAAAAATTCAAACAAGATGGCCACAATTTACTGCATTAAATGTGCATTGCGATCAGGTCATGTACGATGATGTAGCATACTATTGTTTAAAACGTTCGTTATGAATTATTAATATTAATTATGAATGCCTGTTTTACTTGCTATTTTTATTTGGGCAGTATATTTAATTTATTTTCAGTAAGTAGTAAGCTTTTTACTAATTCCAAACTCAGCCACGGTCATTCTAAGTGAGCAATGACATCCCTCTACATGCAGAGGGCGCTGCAAGACTTTTCAAAGAAACTAATACTGCCTTTATCGAAGACTTCTCATCGTCTCAATTTAGATTTTAAATATCAAAGTTTAGGATTCATATGCTGACGATTTCTAGCTCAGCCTAAATCAACTCTGCCTTACAGTTTTATCAGTGTCAGTATAGTGCACTTGATAAAAGTGCTTGTTAAACCATAATCAGAATGTTGGAATGGAAAAGGAGCTTGTCTTGTCATTGGTTGCATATCTGTTTTTTTTCTTCTTCTATGGGGCCAAAGACTGAATGGAAAAAGGCCTGCTGTTTATTTCTTGAGGTTGTTGGCTTAGATGATTGTTATATTGGGTTAGTTGACTGCCTAAAGATGGTGTACAACATCCCACAAAATGCATCCACTCATATAGCAACTTATTTTATAAGGGATATTCCAAACAATGCTGCTTTTGCAAATCCTCCTGTACCTGAAATATAAAACATAAAGATTATTTCCCAGTTTTACTTCTTATACAATAAAGAACCACAACCCCAAAAAGGTTTCCAGAAATGTTCTTCAAAGATTGATTTAAGCAACAAAAAGATGAATAGGTTTCTGGGCAAATAACAACACTTTGTTTAAAAGTAAAGAGTTTATGTACTTTTAAGTCATGAGAAAGATGACACTAAGAGAACGGGACAATCACACATGAAAAATATATGATATGCACAAAAATACAGTGCAAACAAAAAACATTCAATATTAAAATGCACATAAAAGTGAGCTGGCAATAACAACATGTGATATTCAACATATATCAGTTAAAAGACAGAATAAAGAATTATATATAGACTTGTGACTGATACAGGATGAAAATACAAATATTTGAGAAATTCCATCCTCTGATATTTGAAGCAGCAAATACACATTACAAACACAAACATTGAACTCTATAGCGTCAATTTGTTTTCAGCTGCAGACCGACATTATAAAAAATATTATATTACATGCATGAAAATGTCTGTCAGATAAAATATTTTTAAAATCAAGTGATAAAATATTAATGTGAAAATCTCTAATGCATTGTGGTTTTAAAAATCAACCAACATCATGAAACCTGTAAATATTGATCCAGTAATTGAAATGGATATGGCTTAATGCTTTTATACATTAAAAGTCAGCGATAATAAAGGTTTGAGAAAGCGAGGAAAAACTGGTTTAGGCACAATAAGCATTGCTGTCATCTGATACTATCCAAATATCTCTATAGATGGTTTGTTTTCCATTTGGCGACCAAGCAGGTTAGTTACACATGCTTGAAACACAAGCACATGCACTCATATGACCAGGAGATGTTCCATAAACTATCAACCGAAAAAAAAAAACCACACACTGCAATAATCAATGTCTAAAAGATCAGCCAGCTCTGGCCTGTATCACTGTAACAACCAGAGAAATTGTAAGCAATTCTAATTTCAATTTACAAAGCATATTCACTCCCAAGTCCAAATTTTTGGTATAAAAAAAAACACATGCATGAAAAAAAAGTTTAAAACAAAGCATTTTGTTTTTGTTGAGGGGCATAAATTATTTGAAATCTGTTTATTATTTAATGAATATTGTATGACTTTCATATTCTTTAGCAGTATCAGATTTCCTTCAGATAGAGGTTTTTACTAGGAACATCTACAGATCATACATCAAAAAACAGCTCTGAGTGTGTATGTGGCATATGTACAGTGGGGTCCAAAAGTCTGATCCAAAAGATCCAAAGCCCATGTTGAACAACTGACAGAGTCACATGATTACCAATTTGCTCATTTGATTAGTGACCACAAAAGTTTGTAAGAAGCAAAGTAACTTTTAATAGCATTTCAATGTGGTCTCAGACTTCTCGATCCCGCTGCCCATTTTACTCACATGAGTGGATATTATGTAACGCCAGTCTGTTCATTTCTGCACGGATGCATCTGTTTGTGTGCGTGGCTGGCTTTATGTGGCTCTTAGTTCAGCGCTTCAGGAAGGACTGCATCATGTCAATGGGCAGAGGGAAAATGATGGTGGAGTTCTTCTCGGCTGCGATGGTGTTGAGGGTCTGAAGGTAGCGCAGCTGCAAAGCTGAGGGAGACTCTGCGATCACCAGAGATGCCTCCTTAAGTGCCCGTGACGCATTCATTTCTCCCTCTGCGGCTATCACCTACAGAGAGCAAAAGAGGAGGTGTGAGAGAAAAAACGCGTGCGTCTTGATTTTTGCAAACCACATATACCGCACCAAAATTCCACTCCTTAAACCAGTTTCAAATTGACACCCACTCTTTGCCCTTTATGGCATTGCTCTTTTAATCACCTCAACTGGTTTTGCTTTATGACCCAGATTATACATTGGACATCAAGCGATGACCTGATACAGCACCCAAATTATTTGGCAAAGAAATAGGAATCTTAATATCAATACATTATTAATTTGATCACAAAATGTATAGGTCGAACAATATGTACAAATTTTGATAAAAATAGGAAAAATATTTACGATTACTAAAATGATACAGTTTTTCTATGCACAAATTTAGTAAATGATTCTAAATGTCTCTTAATGGTTTCACAAAACAATTTGTGATCAGAACAAACAATGCTTATGTTACAATGCAAGTAAACCTGTATTTACTATATACTGGGTCATGTTGATCTTTGTCTTGGATCATTTTTGAGGATAATGTCATACCACGCAACCAGTCCA